TAATGTTAAATAGGTTTAAATTCACGAGTCCTTTGTCTACGACCATACCATGCTGAATATACTGGTTCACGTCCGATCACCGAAGTCAAGCAGCATAGGGCCTGGTCAGTACATGGATGGGAGACCGCTTTTGAATACCGGATGTTGTAGGCATTTTGTTGCCGGAGTTGTAGACAATGTGATGACCTAGACATGGAGACATCCTTCTCTTACCTTTTTTTTTTTTTTTATTTCTCTCTTTTTTCCCCTCTTCAAAATCCCGAATAGGAAAAAAAATATCACGCTTTTCTGGAGGAGCAAAGAAAAGGGTGACGAGTTTTTGGTTGCTCTTGATCCCTTCTAAAAGAAGCTTATTATCGACCTCTTCCCTCTATTACCGTCCTTCCTTCCTTCCCTCCTTCACATCTATAACAAACTCCCGCCCCCCTCCCTTCTCATCCTGGCCCGGCTCCTCCTTTTTCTTTCTTCCATCCTCCATGTAGCATAATGGCACAATGTTTTATCCGCAACCGTTTCCAAGACAGTGTCAATGCGCACACTCTTTGCGCATGATGACCATTACGTCATAAACAAAGACAAGGTGAATACTATATCGCGTGTCGAGGTACTAGGTCTGCTCAAAGGCTTATTAGAATATGACGTCATCTTGTTATATTCCTCTTCCCCAAGACCTGATCTGAACAAGGCATAGAAGTGCAGCTCTGGAGTATTATTGATACCCCCAATAATATAGTTGAACAAGAGCTCCATCTACAGAGGACACAGTCTCTTAGTTGGAGAAGAGCCGTTTCCTTACCCAGTCGGTCACTTTCAAACAATCATGAACATCTGAAACTACTACTACTACCACCCCATCAAAAGAAATCAGATGGTGACGTCATTGTCTAATGTTAAATAGGTTTAAATTCACGAGTCCTTGTCTACGACCATACCATGCTGAATATACTGGTTCACGTCCGATCACCGAAGTCAAGCAGCATAGGGCCTGGTCAGTACATGGATGGGAGACCGCTTTTGAATACCGGATGTTGTAGGCATTTTGTTGCCGGAGTTGTAGACAATGTGATGACCTAGACATGGAGACATCCTTCTCTTACCTTTTTTTTTTTTTTATTTCTCTCTTTTTTCCCTCTTCAAAATCCCGAATAGGAAAAAAAAATATCACGCTTTTCTGGAGGAGCAAAGAAAAGGGTGACGAGTTTTTGGTTGCTCTTGATCCCTTCTAAAAGAAGCTTATTATCGACCTCTTCCCTCTATTACCGTCCTTCCTTCTTCCCTCCTTCACATCTATAACAAACTCCCGCCCCCCTCCCTTCTCATCCTGGCCCGGCTCCTCCTTTTTCTTTTCTCCATCCTCCATGTAGCATAATGGAACAATGTTTTATCCGCAACCGTTTCCAAGACAGTGTCAATGCGCACACTCTTTGCGCATGATGACCATTACGTCATAAACAAAGACAAGGTGAATACTATATCGCGTGTCGAGGTACTAGGTCTGCTCAAAGGCTTATTTAGAATATGACGTCATCTTGTTATATTCCTCTTCCCCAAGACCTGATCTGAACAAGGCATAGAAGTGCAGCTCTGGAGTATTATTGATACCCCCAATAATATAGTTGAACAAGAGCTCCATCTACAGAGGACACAGTCTCTTAGTTGGAGAAGAGAGAAGAGCCGTTCCTTACCCAGTCGGTCACTTTCAAACAATCATGAACATCTGAAACTACTACTACTACCACCCCATCAAAAGAAATCAGATGGTGACGTCATTGTCTAATGTTAAATAGGTTTAAATTCACGAGTCCTTTGTCTACGACCATACCATGCTGAATATACTGGTTCACGTCCGATCACCGAAGTCAAGCAGCATAGGGCCTGGTCAGTACATGGATGGGAGACCGCTTTTGAATACCGGATGTTGTAGGCATTTTGTTGCCGGAGTTGTAGACAATGTGATGACCTAGACATGGAGACATCCTTCTCTTACCTTTTTTTTTTTTTTATTTCTCTCTTTTTTCCCCTCTTCAAAATCCCGAATAGGAAAAAAAATATCACGCTTTTCTGGAGGAGCAAAGAAAAGGGTGACGAGTTTGGTTGCTCTTGATCCCTTCTAAAAGAAGCTTATTATCGACCTCTTCCCTCTATTACCGTCCTTCCTTCCTTCCCTCCTTCACATCTATAACAAACTCCCGCCCCCCCCCTTCTCATCCTGGCCCGGCTCCTCCTTTTTCTTTTCTTCCATCCTCCATGTAGCATAATGGCACAATGTTTTATCCGCAACCGTTTCCAAGACAGTGTCAATGCGCACACTCTTTGCGCATGATGACCATTACGTCATAAACAAAGACAAGGTGAATACTATATCGCGTGTCGAGGTACTAGGTCTGCTCAAAGGCTTATTTAGAATATGACGTCATCTTGTTATATTCCTCTTCCCCAAGACCTGATCTGAACAAGGCATAGAAGTGCAGCTCTGGAGTATTATTGATACCCCCAATAATATAGTTGAACAAGAGCTCCATCTACAGAGGACACAGTCTCTTAGTTGGAGAAGAGCCGTTTCCTTACCCAGTCGGTCACTTTCAAACAATCATGAACATCTGAAACTACTACTACTACCACCCCATCAAAAGAAATCAGATGGTGACGTCATTGTCTAATGTTAAATAGGTTTAAATTCACGAGTCCTTTGTCTACGACCATACCATGCTGAATATACTGGTTCACGTCCGATCACCGAAGTCAAGCAGCATAGGGCCTGGTCAGTACATATGGATGGGAGACCGCTTTTGAATACCGGATGTTGTAGGCATTTTGTTGCCGGAGTTGTAGACAATGTGATGACCTAGACATGGAGACATCCTTCTCTTACCTTTTTTTTTTTTTTTTATTTCTCTCTTTTTTCCCCTCTTCAAAATCCCGAATAGGAAAAAAAAATATCACGCTTTTCTGGAGGAGCAAAGAAAAGGGTGACGAGTTTTGGTTGCTCTTGATCCCTTCTAAAAGAAGCTTATTATCGACCTCTTCCCTCTATTACCGTCCTTCCCTCCTTCCCTCCTTCACATCTATAACAAAACTCCCGCCCCCCTCCCTTCTCATCCTGGCCCGGCTCCTCCTTTTTCTTTTCTTCCATCCTCCATGTAGCATAATGGCACAATGTTTTATCCGCAACCGTTTCCAAGACAGTGTCAATGCGCACACTCTTTGCGCATGATGACCATTACGTCATAAACAAAGACAAGGTGAATACTATATCGCGTGTCGAGGTACTAGGTCTGCTCAAAGGCTTATTTAGAATATGACGTCATCTTGTTATATTCCTCTTCCCCAAGACCTGATCTAACAAGGCATAGAAGTGCAGCTCTGGAGTATTATGATACCCCCAATAATATAGTTGAACAAGAGCTCCATCTACAGAGGACACAGTCTCTTAGTTGGAGAAGAGCCGTTTCCTTACCAGTCGGTCACTTTCAAACAATCATGAACATCTGAAACTACTACTACTACCACCCCATCAAAAGAAATCAGATGGTGACGTCATTGTCTAATGTTAAATAGGTTTAAATTCACGAGTCCTTTGTCTACGACCATACCATGCTGAATATACTGGTTCACGTCCGATCACCGAAGTCAAGCAGCATAGCTGGCTAGGCAGTCAGTACATGGATGGGAGACCGCTTTTGAATACCGGATGTTGTAGGCATTTGTTGCGGAGTGCGAGAGTTGTAGACAATGTGATGACCTAGACATGGAGACATCCTTCTCTTACCTTTTTTTTTTTTTTTTTATTTCTCTCTTTTTTCCCCTCTTCAAAATCCCGAATAGGAAAAAAAATATTCACGCTTTTCTGGAGGAGCAAAGAAAAGGGTGACGAGTTTTTGGTGCTCTTGATCCCTTCTAAAAGAAGCTTATTATCGACCTCTTCCCTCTATTACCGTCCTTCCTTCCTTCCCTCCTTCACATCTATAACAAACTCCCGCCCCCCTCCCTTCTCATCCTGGCCCGGCTCCTCCTTTTTCTTTCTTCCATCCCATGTAGCATAATGGCACAATGTTTTATCCGCAACCGTTTCCAAGACAGTGTCAATGCGCACACTCTTTGCGCATGATGACCATTACGTCATAAAACAAAGACAAGGTGATACTATATCGCGTGTCGATCGGGTACTAGGTCTGCTCAAAGGCTTATTTAGAATATGACGTCATCTTGTTATATTCCTCTTCCCCAAGACCTGATCTGAACAAGGCATAGAAGTTCAGCTCTGGAGTATTATTGATTCCCCCAATAATTTAGTGAACAAGAGTCCATCTACAGATCACAAGTCTCTTAGTTGGAGAGAAGGCCGTTTCCTTACCCAGTTCTGTCACTTTCAAACAATAATTTAAATCAAACAACTACTAATACCACCCCATGCAAAAGAAATTTGATGGTGGGTCATTGTCAACTTAATTAGTTTAAATTCCTAGTCCTTTGTCTATTTGAACAAACCATGCTGAATATCTGTTCTTCCATCACCGAAGTCAAGCATAATAGGGGACTACTGTATTACATGGATGGGAGACCGCTTTGAATACCGGATGTTGTAGGCATTTTCTTGTTGCCGGACTTCCTAGACAATGTGATGACCTGACATGGAGACCACCTTCTCAAATACCTTTTTTTTATTTTTTCTTTTCACTTTTTCCCTGTTCAAAATCCCGAATAGGAAAAAAATGTCACGCTTTCTGGAGGAGCAAAGAAAAGGTGAATAGTTTTTGGTTGCTCTTGATCCCTTCTAAAAGAAGCTTATTATCGACCTTGCCTTATTACCGTCTATTCCTTCCTTCCCTCCTTCCATCTATAACAAACTGCCCCCCTCCCTTCTATATGACCCATGATTGGTTTTTCTCTTGAGAGATCCGCCAGTAGCGGACAGAACAAAAGTGGTCTGAATGGCCTGCCATTTTAAGACCAACTTAAAGTTGATCTCAGTCTTTGTGAAACACCGATGTTCTCATTACCTTTCCCTTGCGGCTTCTGGGTTTGTCTCGATGATATCAGGTAATGTCAAGATACTTGGTCTTCTCAATGGCTCATTTCTCTTCTCAATCAGAGTTTCGTCCTCTTCCTCTACCTGTTCTTGGCCATCTAGAAATGGAGAGACAGAAAGAAGGAATATTAATTAATAGCTCACAATAATGCGCCTAATACTTTATTTCAAGAGCGCATCTACATATTATTAACCCGGTCTCGGATTAGGCTTGGAGAACGATGCACATTCTCCGCTCCCTAGGGAGCATTCCGGCAAACCCAATTTTACATCGCACATGCTCATCCAACCACATTACTTTCACATCCCCACGCAAAAGCAATTACCCTGGGTGGAGAGTGGCAAATGTTAGATTAACGTCTTGCCAAAGACATTAGTGCCTTGTCAGGACCATACCACTGAATATCTGGTTACGTTCTTCTGGATTCATCCAAAGCATTAGTTCTTTTTACAATCCTTTTGAGACAAAAAGATTTCTTTTTAATTTAAAGCACATTCTGACCATCTGTATCTTTTTGTCGTACATATCACTTTTATAACAACATTTAAGAATGTGGTTTTATTTCCCTTTCTCTTTCTTATGTTTCTCCCCCCCCCCCTTTTTCTCTCTCTCTCTCTCTCTCTCTCTCTCTCTCACTATATTTCCCTCTTCTTTGACTACTACTACTACTATTTTTTTGTCAAAAAACGGTTTAAAAAAAAAGAGTCAACCATAGATTTCAAGATTTTTGTGTCTGTCCCAAAGGGCAATACAACATTTTTTTTTGGAGGTTTTACACTTAAATTCAACTTACTTGTATTTCAAGGTGTTTTTGTTTCAGAGCCTCTCTCTCTTCTTCTTGTTTCTGTCTAAGTGCTCTGTCTTCTTCATCCTGTCTCCTAGCTCTCTGTACGTGGTACTGTGCCTGGCTTAGAAGATCAGCGCATTGCCTGCATTCAAACACAAATGATGAAGATGATAACGATGGTGGTGACGGTGATAACATCAGCTTGCATGTACTCTACCAAGCACCAGGGGGTTGTTTCACAAACTTTGTCATCGGTGACAAATGACAGTTTTAGTTATAAGCTAGTGAAATCATTGCTTCTGATCGTTATCAGCAGATTTGTCACTGATTTTTGTCATTTGTCATTGAATAAAGGCTTCAGGTTACCCTCCCTTTCATATTCAAATAGAATCAAACAAATGGCCGAATGGGCGGTCTGGACTCACCTTGCCTCTGTTCCAGCCTGTGACAGATCAAATCTCATCCTATCTCCTGACTTACTGAGGTACGTGAAGTACCTCTGAGCAGTCTTGAGCTCCGACACAGCACCTAGTACGGTCTTCAGGTTGGACTTCTCATCACGCAGGACATACATGGCGATACGCTGCAGGACCAGTGAGAGGTTGTAGGTTATCAGGCTGTCATGCGGAGAGACACGCTTGGCCTAGTCAACAGAGAATGAAAAGGGATAATAATGATGATAATAATAATATTAAGCAAATAATTACCCTTGGTGAAGGTGATGGGACAAACTATCACTTCCGAGGCGATCTGGATGTATAGCTTTCTTTCCAAAGCGAAGCTGAGGAAAGATAGCGTATTCATTCAGATCGCTGAGGAAGTGATAGTTTGCCATCGCCTGAAACAAAAGGTGATTATTTGCTTTATATTCCACATCAGAAGCATTTCACTTCTTCCGTCATTTTAGAGCAACAAGTCATCAATTAACAGCTAGCAAATGGTGTACGATACATAATAGCACCCGTGCTTAAGCCAGGGTAATTATCTCCCTTTATACAACACCTACTAAGATTCTTGCAACCTCATTGGTCAATTCTTAATCACATGACATGCGCTAAAAAGTAATATTGAACAGCATCATTCGCCAGGCGTGCAATTCTGTTTGATAAATTTGCACCAACGCACGCTGGTGTCACTAACGATGTACAGAGTATATTTTGAGGTAAGTGACGTCACCATGCAATAGTGCAAATTGATCAAACGAAATTGCACTCTGTAGACACAATAAACATACGCATGGCGCATTGTAAACGCATGGTATTATCATTTGGGGGGGGGGGCAAAAAGAGCATTATCACCTTTATAAGACAGTTATATAAATCATCTAGGTGTTTTTTTCTTGGGGGTGGTTGGGGATTGTTACCTTGAGCAATGTCTGCCTGCACTCCTTGAGCTTGCCAGTCTTGAAGTACGCCCTCGCTAGAAAGCTCAGGACAGTCGTGTTGTGGAACTTGAAAAACTTCTTGATGCAGTTCTCATACTGATGGAGGAAGGAAAACAAATGTAAAGCTCAATCAGGTATGAAATCCAAAATATCATGTAAACCCTTTAAAGATAAAGACCAGTTATGGTCATGCGATTGCATTGTGAAAGAAACGTTGTGGAATCGATCAGAAAAGGTTGATTATTTAGCATATACACCTGTAAGTATTGGTGTGTACTGCAAGGTTCTGGAATCATCAAAATGATAAGAAATTTGGCCCAGTCTTGGTCGTAAGTTACAAGCACTGTACACCGAAAGATGTATATGGGACTACGCGACACGTGCACGATATCTATCAGGTCCAAATAGATATGATAAATTAAATGGTACCTTTAAGATTGAATATACCAGCTTTATATTTGGCAGGCAATATTTCATCTATTCATGTGGAGATCTCAATCCAAGGTATTCTTCAGATTAATTCTTGCTATCTCATGTCTCATAATTGTGTGGAGACTCTCTTGGCTTGAGAAAGTCCACAGGTGGATGAAATCTTGCCTACTTGAATTTAAAGTTGGTAGAAGGTACAATTTGGGGACTACCTCAAATTGTTCTGGATTACAAAATGACTGCCAAGCCATTCTAATTCCAATGCACCTACATGTATATACAGTCAAACCTGCTTTAGCGACTACCTGTCTACAAAGACCACTTTTTTTTTATTTTCCTTGAAAATGGTTTCTCATTGAAACATGTACTAAAGAAACCTCTACATAAAAACCACCTGCCTATAAATACCACTTATCTTGTCTCCCTTGGGTGGTCTTTAGAGACAGGTTTCACTGTATATCATTCATAAAATATCTATTTCATACATCACATATTAAGACTTTCAAAACACTTTAATTATGATTGAGTACATAGTATGGAAGCTATCTATAGTACAGATATTTACTTGATGACACCTCAAAGAAAATGAACCCCTCTTTAAGATCGGGTATCTGACTGGAATACTAATCTTTACCTCTCTAAACAGATAGATCCTTGAAATGGTGAAGAAAAAAAGCAATATAAGACATTTCTGATAACTGATTTTGATATATGCATCTATGGTTTCACAGGAAAAGTTGAATTTTGAAAGCAAATTCAGTGTTGCCAATTTGAATACTGACCATTTGTATGGCACTGATGTACTGCTTCTGCTCCACATAGATGTGTGCTAGGTTCAGCCAAACATCAGATACATCAGCCGTAGCTTCTCTCACCTGCATAAAAAAAAAAGACGATTGGTTTTAAAGGGATCGTTTGACAATGTTAAATCTGAGATACACGGCCCTACGTGTTATCAGTTTCTGTGATATGGTGTAATATTATATGGTGTATATGGTGAATAAAAAATTGCGCTTCAAAATGATCAAGAAGTGCCTCAAAAAAGTAAAATTCTTTGAGTGACCGGTTTTAACCATACATATAGTGTTATGAAGACCATTTGGCAAACAAATTTGTAATTCCAATCATAAATATCTTGATAATCAGACATGCAATCGGCTTGTAAAAGTCATGGGGTTCCTGACTGACCTAAAGGTTTAAAATTATCATTGCAGCATGAGCTAAATCCAGAATTTCGATTCAGAATCTGCGACAAAGTTACCGGATCCCTTTAAATTATGCAAATTCTCCATATAGCAAATAGCTGCCCTTGAGTGGTATATCAGATATACTGCATTCAACTTGCAAATATTACAAGTGACTTTGACGTGTGCAATATTTATTTTAGCTGAATGCAATATATCTGATATACCACGAAAGAAAGCCAAAATTATCATTGTACATCAAATATCAAACTATCATCAGTAGTAGTAGTAGTAGAAGTAGTAGTAGTAGTAGTAGTAGTAGCACCATTATCGTTACAATAAACTACACAGAATGAAAGCTCACAAATGATATGTCATCTTGACTAGGACTCAACCTTCTCTTTAGAGAAGACATCCCTAGCCTCTCTGATGTCGCCTTTCATAGCCAGGACACATCCAATATCATTGGCTGCTTAGATACAACGGTAGTAGTAGTAGTATTAGTAGTAGTAGTAGTAGTAGTAGTAGTAGGTGATGGTGGTGGTGGTCTTGGTGGTAGTTGTAGTAGCAGTAGTAGTAGTAGTATGTAGTAGTATTAGTAGTAGTAGTAGTAGTAGTAGTAGTAGTAGTAGTAGTAGTAGTAGTAGTAGTAGTAGTAGGAGTAGTAGTAGTAGTAGTAGTAGTAGTAGTAGTAGTAGTAGTAGTAGTAAGTAGTAGTAGTAGTAGTAAGTAGTAGTAGTAGTAGTAGTAGTAGTAGTAAGTAGTAGTAGTAGTAAGTAGTAGTAGTAGTAGTAGTAGTAGTAGTAGTAGTAGTAGTAGTAGTAGTAGTAGTAGTAGTAAGTAGTAGTAGTAATAGTAGTAGGTGGTGGTGGGGGAGGTGGTAGTCTTGGTGGTAGTTGTAGTGGTAGTAGTAGTAGTAAGTAGTAGTAGTAGTAGTAGTAGTAGTAGTAGTAGTAGTAGTAGTAGTAGTAGGTGGTGGCGGCGGCGGTGGTGGTCTTGGTGATAGTTGTAGTTGCAGTGGTAGTGGTAGTAGTAGTAGTAAGTAGTAGTAGTGGTAGTAGTAGTAGTTGTAGTAAGTAGTAGTAGTAGTAGTAGTAGTAGTAGTAGTAGTAGTAGTAAGTAGTAGTAGTAGTAGTAGTAGTAGTAGTAGTAGTAGTAGTAGTAGTAGTAGTAGTAGTAGGTGGTGGTGGTGGGGGAGGTGGTGGTCTTGGTGGTAGTTGTAGTGGTAGTAGTAGTAGTTGTAGTAAGTAGTAGTAGTAGTAGTAGTAGTAGTAGTAGTAGTAGTAAGTAGTAGTAGTAGTAGTATAGTAGTAGTAGTAAGTAGTAGTAGTAGTAGTAGTGGTGGTGGTGGCGGCGGTGGTGGTCTTGGTGGTAGTTGTAGTTGTAGTGGTAGAGGTAGTAGTAGTAGTAGTAGTAAATTATTTAGTAAACTTACCTGTGAGAAGACGTCCCTGGCCTCTCTGATGTAGCCTTTCATAGCCAGGATACATCCGATACCATTGGCTGCGTAGATGTTTCGGCTATCGCTTCTCAAGACTTGTTTGTACCGAGCCAGCGCCCTCTCCTGATGACGCTTCTCCTGTAGTAGCACAGAAATACAGATACATTCCATCATCAAGGAGAATCTTGCTTCTGCACAGGTTAATTATTTATTTTGTTGGTGGGTGAGCAAGAAAACGTTTACTCAATATAAAGTATGCTCGTACATTAAATATGCTTCGTGCTAAAAGGAAATATTTGTGAATGACAAAGAAATCGTCCTACACACCTTTGTTGTGCCTTGTGGGTTGGCCCAATGCAAGAAGAGAGCAGGCCCGTTGCACAAAAGTTACCATTGATGGTAACTACCATGGAAACCTTGATTTCGATTGGCTTTTGAGCCCTGTTACCATGGAAGTTGCCATTGATGGCAAAGTTACCATGACTGGTAGTTTTATGCAACGGGCCCAGGTGTGATATTGTTTATTGAGAGCCAGAAGGGCTTTAACTCTGTGTGATGGTATAAGACTTCATGCTCTTCAGAAGCAGAAGGGGAGCAATAGACTACTCTGGACGAGTCATTCTACAAACCGTTGCTTTGCCTCTGATTGGTTGGTAGAGGGTGTGAAGCCAAACTTATATTGTCCAGTGGAAGAAGGGAGCAAGTATCATACACACGACACTTCATTCACAAAGGAAACAATTACCTATTGTGAAGAAAATAATAATAATAATAACAATAGTTATAATATTGGACATTTATATAGCGCACACATCAACCATCCATGGTGCTCAAGGCGCTCCAACTATTACCCCGGCTTTGCTAGGCAGCCGATTCGGCGCTCACAGCATTCAAGGAATTCCTTCCCACCCATTTAACACCTGGGTGGAGAGTGGCAAATGTAGCTTAATATCTTGCCAAAGGACATTAGTGCCGTAGCGGGACTCGAACCGCAGACCCTGTGATCCACAGTCCGACGACTTATCCACTAGACCACAACAATATCCCTTTACAAATGAGAAAAGTCATTGTACGCACCTTTTCTTTGTCCCTGGTTGGTTGGTAGAGGGTCTGTAGCCACACATTGCCCAGTGCAAGAAGGGAGTAAGTATCATTCTGAGTGGCTGGTTGTTTGAGGATCCTCTCAAACTTCTTTTGTCCTGGACCCCATTCTTGCTTGCCCAGATGAAGGTTGCCAATCAGAGACCAGGCATCAGGATGATCCTAGCAATTAACAAAACATTCACTTAAAATATATCAATCACCTAAAAAATATAGTTTTATAGCTAGAATATATAGCCAACCTCAATTTACTTTTCTTGGCAGTCTATAGGTTTACAGGTATACATGTGCGCAGGTATGAGTGGGTCGGTAGGAATTCTGTGCACAAGGTAACTTTGGGCTTGGTTTAAACACATGGGCCCGAATTCACAAAGGAGGTTTAGATTTAACCCAGGCTAAATCTAACCCTGGTTTATTTAGCCCAGGCTAAATCTAACCCACGGTTTAAACCTCGCTCGGTATTCACAAAGCGTGGGTTAGATAACCCATGGTCTAAATCTAACCCACGGTTTAACCCACGGTTTAAGCATGCCTAAGAGAGCAAAAATAAACTGAGCATGCGCAGAATTGAAGCACTGAACTGAGCATGCGCGCTCAGTACACTTGGTTACTCCACCTAGTTCACCGTCGTCTGCTAAGTCCAGATTCAGTTGTATTTGGGCTATTACTCTTCGCCTACAAGTAGAGACTGAAAACCGACCGATTCTAAGTTGAGATAAGACTTTAAACCACTATTCACATACTAAAACAGTTCTCTTACAGATGTCCTCAAAATATTATAGAATTTCGCATAAATTACCTCAATAATTCCTCACTATCGTTGTTAATTTATGGCCTATAATCGTCCGACATAATTATGATCAGCTGGGCATCACAACACACTAAACATCGACAGTTTTCGAGGAAGAGTCCACAAAAAACTTTTGTAAACGACCCTTATACCAGAGTGAAAATTTTCTATGATGTAGTGTTCATTTTAGAGCTATATGATCACATTTTCGTTGATTGTTATGATGATTTTAGAGCGTAGGTCACACTTTAGTTTAGCAATTAATCAATCCGAAGTAAGAGTAGACTCGTGTTATATATAGCGTAGACTCCGTAGAGGCAGCGAAAGCGATCGATGACGTTTAGTCCAGAATGTGTTGATGATGTAGAAAGAAAGGGCTGAAAGGTTACGATAAATACTTTCTGATAGAAAATACTGGCATTAATGCATAAAATGCATAGATGTATTGAGAAAAAAAAACCGGGCTTACTGGTCACATAAAATAGGAGGACAGCAAAAACAAGGCAGTCTTGACATGTGATAAAGAATTATTAGGCCTAATTTGGGGGGGGGGGGGGGGGACATTAATTGTTTTCTTAGGGGATGGGTTTTTTTTTTTGAGGGGGGGGGGGGGGGGGGTTAATTTTGTTCTTAATTTTTCATAGGGGGAAGGGGGCATTAATTGTTTTTTAGGGGGGTGGGGCTTTACTGGGGGTGGGGGTAATTTTGTTTTTAATTTTTCTTAGGGGGAGGGGGCATTAATTGTTTTCTTAGGGGGGGGCATTAATTTTTTTCTGAATTTGTTTATTTGCTGTATTAATTCTTTTCTTAGGGGGGCGTTCATTTTTTTTTCTTAATTTTTCTGCTTTATTGAATTTCTCAAGGGAATAGTGATTTAAACAAAAAGAAAAGAAGTTTTTTGTAAATTTCGTCTCTATTTCTCACTCTTTCACCTTCCTTGTTTTTGTTTGTTGTCTCTCTTTTTTTCACCAGCTCTCCACCCCACCTCTCTCAAATATCTTTTTATTTCGTTAGAACTCCCATTTTTTTAATCCCTCTCGTACCCCTTTTCTTTCTCTTTTTTCTCCACCTCTCTCTCTCACACATACCCTTTCTCCTTCTTTCTTCATCTCTCTCTTTATCTTTTGCTCTCTCTGTGTGGGTGTTTGGATTTAGCGAAACATACCGAATCCATTTTAATTCATGGTGTGTACTGGGTAATTATAAGTAATAGATAACAGCAAATGGTATATTAATAATTAAACAAGATAAACAAAGTAGGTCATTCACTTGTAAAACGTTTACCTCCTAACTTAATGATTTCACGAGAAAAACCACACCATCAAACAAGAGAAATTTATATTTAAATATTGACGATTTAATATGGATAATCAAAACAAGTATTCAAGGTTATTGACGAAGACAATATTGAAGTCGATAATGATGTCAGTGATGATAATGATGACAGCAATGTTGTCGGTGGCGATGGTGATGAAGCAGTCAAATAACGATTTCAGTGACGATGTTGATAATGATGAAGATGATGACGATTTCCCTTTCAAAGTGGTTGGTACCTTTTGCAAAAATGTTTTTGGGAGGAACTATATCAACCATTAGATTTCAAATCATACGGTCTAATTGTTTCAGACCACAGTACTGCATGGGTGTACGTTTCGTTCAGAGAAACTAAAGGGTGAACCAATTCCATATCGGTCATTTAATTAGTTGCATTAAAAGTAAATGGGGAGCATCTCCAAAAAAGGGAAAATTTTCATTTCATTAATAGAGTATCTGTTCTTCCTATTAATAAAATACAGTGCTTGATCTCCACCAGGACTCCTGATGTAGACACGAGTCCTATCAATTGCACCTAGAAAACCTGGCAACCTGCAGTATTGGTAGAACTGCTGCTGTGTTGCTTCTACTTCTTCTCTTGATGTTGGGAACTTCATGAATTGTTTCCTTCTTCTTGCAAACGCTTCTGACATGTCTTTGATGACTCTGCATACAGAAGACTGTGAAAGTTGTGCCTCATCACCATGCATCTTTTGGAATGACCCTGTAAAAAAAAAATCCTTTTAGTGAAATATCAACTAGTACAATTTCTTACAAGTTACATGGCCAGATCAAATTCTCAAACTGAGAAATGTTTAAAGTCCTTAAAATTGTAGAATAGATTTTTTTATTAAATCAGGGCTGTCAACCCTCTTGCATTTAGAGGGAGTCTCATGCCACCACGCCCTTCCTCCCGCTTTGATGTAGAATCTCCCGGTTTATGAAAAAACTCCCGCAAAATATGGTAACCGCAATTTTACCCTTTTACTTTTTCGCTCAGCCCAGATTAAATAGAAATTTACTAAAAATTAAATAAGGTAAATTACTCACCAACAGCATAGAATCGAAGTGCTGTCACTACCTGTATAGGTATTGGGTCGTTTCTGTCTGTCGTCCTCCTCAGCTCTTCATCCACCAAGTTGATGAGGTAGAGCGCTGTCTCTTTGGAAAACCAGTACCTGGTCCGAAATGACTCATCATCATACACTTCAAAAGGGTTCATGGGTCACGAAGGCCTCTCTGAGGTCTGCCTATCAACTCTCTGTTCCGATCAAGCTGGCGGAGATGGTGAATATATTCAGCCATGCTGTCTCTGTCACAACAAAATAGAAAAAAGTGAATTAAAATTAGAACATGAAATGAAAAAATATCATTCATTGTTTATCAAATAAATCCTATGATATTACATGTTATGCATTCTTAGTATTGTAGACAATCTGATTTTGAATAGCTTTTGCAAACTCTAAAAAAAATATTAACGATACTTTGATTGCATTAAAGAAATGAGTGCTATTGATTCATACTATTGGGCAATTAGGAAAGATGATGTCACTGAACCTCCATAAGAACGTAGGGGCCAATTCCTGTCATGTTTTGTTAAAAATCTACTCATGCTTGATAAAATGAAATGAAATTAGATACATGTACATGTAAATTAGCATTAGATGTCCCATGTGAAAGGTTGAATTTGACTAAGATTACATGTAGATTAGGAAGAACACACATTGATTTATTGGCTATTTGCTTGCACAGATTTTAAACTTGCTTCAAAATTCAAGTACATGTACAACAATGTATTGATGTAGACTCTAACAGTAACAGTTAGGCCTAGACATGATCATGATGTAGACTAGACCTAGTATAAATTTGTAGGAGTTGAGTGTAGAGACATTCGACAGTCAGTACTAGAGTCTAGTCTAGATCTAGATCTAGATGGGCCTAAAGACAAAGTTAGTACCTCTCATTCAGCTCAGACTTGTGTTCGAACTCAGTGACGGTGAGACACACAAACACTCAACTTCTCAAGACACAACACAACAAACCATCGGCGCGGGCTTGGCATGAATTTATGAAAAGTAGTTTTAGAAAGGTCTAGATTCTAGACCACATAGACTAGATTCTAGATCTAGAGCCTGAGGTCTATACCGGTAGACCCTACGGCCTAGGTACTAGTTCTAGATCTAGAAAGTCTAGAGTACTAGACTAGATATCTAGACCTAGATCTAGACTAGACCTAGATCTAGACTAGATCTAGGTCTAGACCCTAGGTCTAGATTTTGAAAAATATTAAATTCCATTTCAATTTCTAAATCTAGAATAGTCTAGAATCTAGTCTAGATCTAGACTAGACTAGATCTATCAGCTAGGTATAGATTCTAACTTAGATCTAACTGTTAGACCTCTAGATTTCTAGATCTAGATCTGCATCTTTTACAATAATTTACAAAATACTTTTAATAAATTCATGCCATGGTTTGGCGTGCTTTGACTAATTTCTTGAGACTGAGGACTAACGTTAGATCTAGATAGATCTAGGCCTAACGTTAGATCTATCATCTAGCCTAGGCCCACGTCGTGTTTGCGTGTCTCACTGCCACCGACTTCGAGCTCAAGCTCAGGTCTTATTCAGTCAGTACTGAGTGTCAGTGTAGGCCTAGTAGTACTAGAGACTAGTCTAGATCTAGGTATAGACCAGGCCTCTGTATATAGTAGCCTAGATCTAGACTAGACTAGTAAAATCCATCAGCGCGTGGAAGAATTTTCATTTTCATTTCGGCATTTTTCGTTCTCCTCCGTTAGTCAGATGAGAAGCAGCATCAGCAGAGGCCAGAGCAGAAAATACAAATGGAACTGTCGCTGACCCCCCCCCCCCCCCCACCCCCCCCCCCCGGAGGAGGCCAGGAATGTCTCAAATGTCATGATTAACATATTTTTCTTCCCGAATCACACAATTGTGTGGTGTTATAGGCCTAACTAATTTTGTATTATTAGCTGGCACATTCGCAGTTATTGCGAAATTGCCTTGCCTCGCAGGATTACATAAACAACACAACACAAATACACACGCATGGGTCCGAGCTGCGTTAGGTTCTGCGACAATGTTCGCAAAGGCTGTGCAACTTACGATGAAGATTATTATTCGTGCACTTTTTACGCATATAAATCATGTTCAATTGGGCTTCCATTGTAGCAGAACTGAGAACATGGTACAAATATGTTGTGAATAACTAAAAATACTTACAATGTAGGCTATCAAAGTTGAAAAAACAGCAACTTTGTGAAGGTCTCTTCACTTTGTTTCACCACAAATTTGTCAACAAAATTTGTACGGTCGTCTGCGCTAAAAAGCCAAAGCTCGCTGGTATGACGTCATATGACGCGTTAAACCGTGGGTTAAACCGTGGGTTAGATTTAGCCCGCTGTTTAAACCACCCTTCTGAGCAGGCTAAAAATATGACGTAATATGACGCGATTTAGCCTGGGTTAAATCTAAACTTCCTTTGTGAATACCAAAATAATGACCCATGGTCTAAAGCTTGGGGTTATGACGTATTATGACGCGATTTAGCCTGGGTTAAATCTAAACCTCCTTTGTGAATTCGGGCCATGAGGTGTAGCCGAGTGTGTTTTAGACCTGCCGAAAGTTACAGTGTGATCAAAATATCAAATAAAAATATCTAGCAATATCTCTTTGTAGAAGAATTATTCAAAGTTCAAATAACGATAAAGGTTTAGCCATGTCAAATCCGTTACATTAAAAGTAAAACATGTTTCTCGGATTGGTACACTTTTAAGATAAAGCCAAGTTCTGGTCATGCGATTATAATGTGAATGAAACTGTTGGTAAAACAAAGCTGATTGGTCTATTACTGACCTGATTGATCTGTAGAGCCTCTTTGAACCAATCAAAGCCTCGTAGATTTGACCTCTTTCTCTCGCCATGCACCCCAATCTAAGGTAGCCTGTAAACGGAGGGAAAACAGGAGTAGTAAGTACAATCCTTTTACAGTTATAAGCAGGCAACTTGACACCTATTCATTATTCTTTTTTAAAAAGTACAACTTTTAAGCTTCATGTAAAGACGAACTGCATGATTCTGGTAGTAACAGGAAAGTTTTCATAGATTCCGGCCAAAGTGAAATTGAATGTCAAAGACTACAATTAAAGGACATATGCTACACAGCATTGAGCGAAAAAAAGAGAGTAAAGAAAGATAAGGAAACTCAGCCAACTTGTCCCAAAAGAGTGTCAAGCACAAGACAACATGGATTAAATGCATATGGTTTCCAGCAAATTCTTGTTTAATTAGTTACATTTACATTTTGCTGGTCAAAACAAGCAATCTACTACATGATAAATACTTCAAAATTACTTTCTTTTATTTCAAAATTGCAGTTCCCTTACCAGGACCCCATCTTATAAGAAGTTGCAATTGTTCTGAATTTATCACAAGTCGGCCAATCAAGTGCAAACTTAAAAATCCCTATCTCTTTAGTTGGAGATGTTATTGATGTTAGGTGCCATTGAGTTGTCTCTCACATAAAGCTGTTTGTAAAGTTACGCATGACTTTACGAATGACTTAAATATGAAACGCCAAATCGGATGCTCAATCTTTTTTAACTGCATCAACTAAAGTTGAACTGTACAGATGTACATTAACATTCTAATTATAACAAACATTTTTAATGCAAAGTTTATTTTTTGCCATAATTTAATTGAGGTTATTGGAAATATAATCACACTTTCTTAAACAATCAGGAAAAACTGTTGGCATCTTATCTGGCACTTCATATTCATGCGTAACTTTACGAATAGCTTATGAAACACCCCCTGGTGACCCCATGAACAAACCCTCTCAAGGATACTCTGTCCTGTGCAAGGATGCACATCTCTCTTTAAAGCCTTTCTGCACTAGTTTGACCAGGAGGGATTAGACCTCCCTGCGTGGTCACTGACAGGTGGCTATCTCATCAACTCAGCTCTCAATTAACATAAGAAAAGGGGACCATGTAATGGGGGATCAACTTGAACCGCTTAGGCATTGTTGGCTGTATAGTAGCTACAAGTCTCGATTAGATAATGACTTGTCTGTTTCTTTGGTGACACCTTCTATCCATCTAATCCCTTGCCTTCCTCTTCTCATTTTACCCTCCACTCTGTGAAGCATGATCTACTGCTCCATACCAACCCTTTGATCTTACAGTCTCTGTTCCACAACCATGGTACGGAGTACAGACGTGTAAGTGATGTCAAGTTGTGATTAATTCAAAACAAGCGTACATGTTTAGAATCAGGCCTACAATTCCTGCTAAGCTTTAAAGTGACTCGTTGACAAGGTTGAAGGTCGATGGAAAAACTGCATAGTTTTTGTATGAAATGTTACTTATTATATTCCTTCTACTGTATTAACCCTCCAACATGCATAAAAAACCTGACAAAATTATCAAACCACATAGATATTCATGGTTTTCTTTCAAGGTACATTGTGTGGCACCCTCTTACAGTAAATTCTCCTAAGTATTTTTTAAATTTTCCCAACCATTCTTTTATGAAAATAAGACATAAAACAGGCTCTTGAAAATCTTTCAACACTTAAATGTATGGAATGGTATATAGAGCCAATTGATTGTTTTGTGATGATTTTCATTCACCTCAAATGTTATTAACTTGTGACAATATAGTTGGGAGAATTAAAGAATCGATCAGATCAGTTTTTCCCAATTAGTATCATTAAAAATGGTCTGTTTTCACTCAAACTTTCAGATGATCTTTAATTGTACATCTACCATTGAAGTCACTACCTTAGCACCATTATCTCTCATCTGAACAATGTTGCCAAGTTCCTTTAAAGACTTACAATCAACGTAGTTTGGATGTTCTTTCAAGATTTCCTTGTAGAGTTTGACAGCATTCTCCATGTTGTATTGGGCCTCGTGGAGACGGGCGAGGTTAAAGGACGTTGTCACGGAGATAGAGTTGTAGTACATCTCATCATGCTCCCTTTCTCTTTTGGAATGTTCCAAAGATGCCTCGTAGTAGCGCTACAGGGTCAATAAGTAAGATGAAGTAGTTGCAAGACAAGAGTGTACTGGAATGGCAGATATCAGAGATGTGTTTAAAAAATTGTAATCAACCTCCAAACTAGGAGAAGATACCTGGGGGAGGGGGGTGTTTCACAAAGATCCTGAGTTGAACTTATCTCTAAGTTGGACTTAACAATTATGGAAAGCCATTAGCACCTATGAAAATATTTTGTAAAAGTTATTTTAAAACGCATAAAATGTTGATTCAAATCATTCATATTTTCCATTATCAAGGAGATTTCATGTTCTTGATGTAGAATTTATAAAAAGTCTAAAATAATTGAATTTTCGATTTTGAATACATTTTATTTTAAGATTACAAATGGCTTTCCATAATGTTTAAGTCCAACTTAGAGTTTAGTTTGACTTAGGATCTTTGTGAAACACCCCCAGGATGGATAGATTACCTTGCCACATCTGAATAAACCTTCCTGGGGTTATCCCACCTCATGGGTCATTCTGATTGGTGGATAATCATATCACTAACAGCTTGGATATTAGTATCCACACTTAGGAGCTCCATTACTGATTGACCAATCAGAAACAACTTCCAGTGACATAACTCTCTGCCTCAACTAGCTATGGGTACAGCGTTTGGTCCAGGGCCCCATTTCACAAAGCTTGTCATCAGTGACAAATGACAGTTCTTGTTATAAGCTAGTGAAATCCTTGCTTCTGATTGGTTATCAGCAGATAAGTCACTGATTTTGTCATTTGTTATTGAAAAAAAAGACTTTGTGAAACTGGTCCCAGGAATTTAGTTATAAAATGGGTTAGTGTAGGAAATTAACCACAGAACAATTGTCCCCGGGCCCCCAGGCCCTCCACTCAAGGGTCAGAAGGACCGCATGCGTGTTCCCAAAATGTCCGGTAAAGGGGTACTTTTCACGCACCAAAGTCCGGCTCGCAGTACACAAAAATCTGGCCCGTATTGACATTACACACCAGACTTAGGGGGTGTTTTCAAAAGGAGGGAACATGCATACGCGTACCCTAAATAACACTGAGTGGGGGGGGGCAGGGCCACATGTCAATGAACCCCGCCCTGGACTTACCTTGGCTTCCTGTACGTTACCCAGGCGATAGTGAAGAGCGCCCACGTTGTTGAGGATCTCTGGAGGGACGTCGGCTTGGACCTTGTCTTTGAGAATCCTAGTAGCAGTACCATATGCAGAGAGGGCAGTCTACATGGTGAGGAGACCAGAGGAGAAAGAGTAAGAGAGAGATTAGAAATCCTAGCTATTTCATTCAAGGAAAAGTTATTAATGAAGAGAGGGCAGTCTACATGGTTAGGAGACCAGAAGAGAGAGAGAGAGAGGGAGATTAGCGACCCTAGCTATTTCATTACAGAGAAAGTTACTAATGTGAAAATATATCCTACCACAATCCAGAAAAAAATTCATGTTTCTTTTTGTATAACAAATAGCATCTGCAAAATACATGCAATCCTGAAACAAAAGTACTTAATTGCAAAGTTATTGAGCAAAATAAACAAAGCATTCCATGATAAGGCAGGACCATTCTAGCTATATAAATCGTCTGCCTGCAACACTGCCTGATGTCTACATATCCATTTCAGCATATTTCAGGGTACACGGTTTTCAGGGTATTTTGTTTACATTTGGCAGGCTTATACCACAACATTAAATCAATTCACAATGATTTTAATCTGTATCTTCGCACGGTCACCTCTACATTAAAGCTGTGTCTTACATATTCTAGATTTATCGCGGTCATGTGGATAAGTCACTGGGCTTGTGAATCACTAGGTACGAGGTTCCAATTACTTCACAAACGTCCTTTGGCAAGACATTAATCTACATTTGCCACTCTCCACCCAGGTGTAATAGGGTATCTGATATAATTGAGTACTAGACTCTTTGACAGCTCTCTATAGCTAGTTTGATGTCTAAGCACTATGAATGTCACAGCATGATAGATGTAAGTATTATAGAAGAAGCCATTGTCATTACTATTCACAAAAGGGCCCTGTTTGATAAAACTTGTTATCAATAACACATGCTAAATATCTATCACATATTTGCCCTCGGCTAATCAAATGCCATGATTTTCAGTAGCTTATAAGAGTTATTGTTACTTGTTATTTATATCAGGTTTTATGAAACAGGCACCAGGTTAAATGACAAAGATGTTTGTTATTGACCCACCTGTACATCAGTGATCTCTAGAATCTGAGCGAGCTCAATCCAGGCCTCGACGTCATCGGGAAACTGCTCCACGACCTTTTGAAGGTGACCTTTAGCGATATCTCTCTTCTCTTCATCTTTAGAGTTTGAGTAGAGTGAACCGAGGATCTTCATTGTCTCGTAGTTACCGGGTTGAGCCTTTAACACCTTCTCAAAACACTGAGATGCCTGTGACGTACAGTTAACAGCAGAATTATACACATCAATTGTAAAATGCGTATTTTTTTTGTGTTTGAATTAGGGCCTTTGTTAAATACATTTAGATGTAAGCTTTAATACGCCACATTCTCAAGAAACATTAATTGAGGCAAATCAATTTCTTCACATACTTACAAAACCTGATACAGTTTTTGTCTATAGAAAATGGTTTAATATATGCAAAAGAACATGTATTCATCAACTCGACTAGAAATCTATTTACAAAAAAGCATACAAAACATCTTCCTCTCTAACACTCTTTGACTGGTAACTAGGATATTTCCAGTTTAGTATAACTATGAAGAAAGCAAGAATTGCTTGGAGATGAACAGTTTTAACTTTCTCATACAATTGAATGGAGCTGCAAACTGCCTCTTATCATCTTAAATCCACAACTTCTTCCATTAGATACAACCTGCTATAACAACCCCCCCCCCCCCCAAAAAAAAAGGGGGGAATCTGTGATCACTTGCAACTCATGAAAATTACTTAAGAGTGTTTAGTGCTCTTTTCTTTTTAAATTTGTAATCTTTGCTCAACTCTTATAAACCACAAGTAAACCAAATTTACTCCTGAAGGAAATCCCTCCCACGGTAGTTTGGTAAAAAAGAAAGAAGAAGAAGAAGAAAAACCCTCTTACATTCTCTGTGTCTCGTCTGTGAATGTACATCTGACCAAGGCCAAAGTGGGGCAGAACAAAGTTTGGGGTAGCATACGTGGTCGCCTGATAGTAGTACTGGAAGGCTTGGTCATAATCACCCTAGGAAGAGAAAATGACATTTCCATGAATTTAGAGGATAATAATAATAATATATCTTGTTTATCCAGGGTAGCCTCATCAGTATCAATACTGTTCTCCCTGAGGGCCCTGCAATCATATCATTACCTCAGCTTCAGAGGCTAGACAAATGATTCCTCAATAATTATTTTCCATCTTATAATGTAAAACCAGAAAGTACTGGAAAGCCTGGTCATAATCACCCTATGAAAAGAATATGACATTTCCATGAATTTAGAGGATAAGGTCTGAACAAATGATTCTTCGATAAGATAAATACTGGACAGATGTAAAGAATCATGCCTCCAGCACCACATTCAGTGTTCTCAGGGTTGGTACTAGGGGTAGTTCAGAAGAAAAAAAAATGCTTAGGTCAAATTCTTTTCTGACAAGGGTAATAAATATGCCAATGTACACTCTTACGTGACTCGGTAAAATTGTCTCAGATTCTGAAACAAATCCTGGACTTAGCTCATGCTGCAATGATAATTATAAACCTTTAGGTCAGTCAGGAACCCCATGACTTTAAAGCTAAAGACCAGTTATGGTAATGCGATTGCATTGTGAAAGAAACATTGTGAAATCGATCAGAAAAGGTTGATCATCTAGCATAGATGTACTGCAAGGTTCTGGAATCATCAAAATGATAAGAAATTTGGCAAAGTCTTCATAAAGTTAGAATCACTGTACACAGAAAGATGTATATGGGACTACACACACGTGCGCGACACATGCATTTGTATCTCTCAACAGGCGAGAGATACACTAATTTACCAAATATATCAATTAGTAGGCGGTTTTCCGTCAACATTTTTATGAAATATTCAAAACATATTCTTTCACATCATTGGTAATAAGAGCTTCCATTTCATTTTTTGAAATTGGGGCGTTTCCAATACTGGTCTTTACCTTTAACAAGCCGATCGCCTGTCTGATTATCAAGATATTTATGATTGGTAATCAAAGTCAAATTCTCTGTTTTCCTAACAGTTTTCATAACATTAGTCTATTGGGGAAATGAGGCACCTCATGATCATTTTGACACGCAATTGTTTAGGGCTTCAAAATAACACCATGTTTCAGACACTGATAACATGTAGGGCCATGCATCTCAGATTTAACATTGTTAAACGATGACTTTCACCTGCTAAAATTATTTGGTCCTCTGCTAAGATGCAACAAGGCCAGTTCACTCAATGTGGATCAAGGTTAAACAACAGTCCGCTGAGAGCCTGGGTGAAGGGAGGCATAAATAGTGCTGTGTCCCCAACACATCACTAATGTCCTTTGGCAAGGCATTAACTTAAATTTGCCACTCCATATGCAGGAGAAAAATGGGGTAGGATGTTGAAAGCCTTTGTGTTAGTAATTGCCATATGCCCTCACAGTTACCACATGGTAGGAATACTCCCCAGGGAGTGGAGATGGTGTACATTGTGCGTGAATGAATCCTATGACCGGGGTAATAATGTCTGGAAAGCGCTTAGAGATGGTATTTCGTATTAAGCGCTATATAAATCCAGATTATATTATTAAATAGTTTGGATGTGTAGTAGATACATACCTGTACATGGAATGATCTAGCTAGCTGGTAACAACTCTCTGCTTGTATAGCTTCATTCTCTGTACCATGTAACGCATGGAGAGCAAGATGCTGTACCTTCGTATAGTCCTGTCAATCAAATACAAATTTATTAAAAGGTCTGATTAAGAAAATTGCAAACAAATTCAAGTAGCCCTAATTCAGATGTTAATGAACATCTGCATCTGTAAGATATTCTTGTTCAACAAATGAAGATGAAGAATGAGAAACATTGAGGAAGATTGAGCTCTGGATGTCAACTGTAATCTCAGGAGTCAGGCCTGCAAAGTTTTGACAAGCACGGTCAAGATGCCTCTTCTTTTGTGTTTCTTGTGATTGTCTTATTTTCTTCATTGTTTTAATTTGGCTGTACAAGATGAAAAATCTTATCACCATAATTTATTTCTCTCTCCATCTCTGTCTCTCTCTCTCTCCCTCTACCCCTCTCTCAGTCTTCTTCTTCTCTTTCTGCTGTTTTCCCCCTTTATATGTTTGTCACTCTCTCAGTCTTATTTTCTTTATGTATCATCCTCATCTTGTCATCCTGCTACTGCTTCTTATTTGTTTACTGTCATTTTAAAAGTTTGTTTTATTGTCTGTCATGTTTTTCTGATTCCCGTTATTGTTTTCAAATTTAAGTTTAATTATTATTGTACGAACCTACACCTAACAAGCATTGCTTTCAAGAAGGTTTTTTTTTTTTCATTTCCTGTAAACAAATAATTTTGCATAACAATGACTAAAAAACAATGTCAAAGATATTGCAATGCTCATTTCTGTTATATCATTACATTTTTTATTGTCTGTCACTCTTTATCTTATGTGAAAAGAAATGAAAAATAAATGTGCTCTGTATAGAGCGACTACTACTACTACAACACTGACCTTCTTAAAGAAGAAATGATTAGCTAGATGATTAAGGACCATTGGATTGCCAGAGTCAATGGTGTAGGCTCTGCTGAGTAGTTGGACACCCTTCTTGATGGAGTCTGGAGCCTTCCCATTGGCTTCAAGGATGGCTAGACCCACAATGGCTCCAACACAACGAGGGTCCAGCTGCAAAGCTCTCTCAAAGGCTAGTCTAGCCTTGTCAGGCTTACCCAGACGCACGAAGCAGTGGCCCATTCCCAGTCGCACAGCCGCTATACAGGTAAAAAGGATCCAAAGAAAGCATTGAATATTATTGTATTTTATGTTGGATAATTTTTCATTTCCAACAAAATACAATATAATAAAAAATAATACATGTATTAATTTTGATAACACAGGGAAATCTCAACAGCATCAATGCTGTTCTTCGTGTGGGCCCTGAATTATTATTATTATTATTATCACCTCAGCAATTGCCAGGAACCATTTACACCTGGGTGGAGAGTGGCAAATGTGGATTAACGTCTTGCAAAAGGACATTTGTGCTGGGATTCCAACCCTTAACCCTTGTACAGATTTTTCCTGTTCATCAGCTAGTTTGCAATGGTAAAAAAGAATGGTCTTAAAACTGTTGAAAAGTGATGTAAATGTTGATTTGAATCATACAATTCCTTCAGCGATTTGTTGGTCAGAGGAGAGAAGAGGAGTAATCGAACAATGTATTGATTATCATGCATAGCTAGAGGCATCAGAGGAGAAACCAAATCATATTGATATATATATATTGAATATAGATTTATATACCAATGAACCTGTAACACACAACAACCAATCCAAAACAAGTATTTGATATATCTGTTGATGCCCTCTAGTGGCTAAATAGTTGTATTCATTGTTGATCCCTTGAATTGCATGGATGGATGAATGGAGGCAGTACACTACATACCTGGGCAATTAGGGTTTGTTCTGAGAGCTTTCTTGTAGTAAGCCAACGCTCCTCTCCAGTCCTTCTTGTTGAATGAGATGCACGCTTTACCTGCACACCAAAAACAAAAACAAAAACAAAGAAAACAGAACAAAATCATTAAAGTGACTTGGTAACATTGTTGAAGGTTGATAGCAAAAACTGTGTAATTTTTTAATGAAACGTTACTTATTATATTTTGTTTACCGTACTAACCCTCTAACATGCAAAAAATCCTGAAAAAATTCCCAAACCACAAAGATATTCATGGTTTCCTTTGAAGGCGTCACTGTGCGACACCCTCTAACAGTGAATTCGCCCAACCAATATTTAAATTTTCAGTTTTTCCCTATTTGTATCATCAATAATGGTCTGTTTTCACTCAAACTTTCAGATTATCTTTAAAGGAATCACACTAAGAAGCAAAAGTGTTTTGAATTGATGCAAAACTCATATCATTGCGAAGGGGAAGCCTTACTGATCAAATACAACAACTCTCCTCTGCAAAATATGTCTAAGAAGGGCCTTGAAAAATTGCATTTTACGCCTTTCCATGATATCTATATGATTTCTCAGCAAATTATTTGTGTTTTTCAAGAGAAAATCTTTCCATACATGTGTAATTTGTTCTAATTATCAGTTGTTAGTGAATTTTCTTTGTGTAGCTCCTTTAATTGTACATCTAGCATTGAATTCACTATATTAGCACCATTTTCTCTCATCTTAACAATGTTACCAAGTCCGTTTAATATAGGCTTCCAGGAAAGATGAATTTGATCCCAATTAATTATTGAGCTGTCCATGTTCTACATCAACAGGTGTGTGTACAAATTTTGCCCTTTCTACTCATGCATCTGGAGAGTGTTTCACAAAGACTGAGATCGACTCTAAGCTGGACTTAACTATGGAAGGCTGGTCATACCACTGGTTGCTCTCACCATTATGATCTTTAGATAATATTTTTTCCTTCAATAACGGATTATTAATTTTAAAAATGTAAATTCTGTAGTTTTGGGACCACGATTTGTACATCCTTTCAGAGACCAATGCCAGTAAATGGTGAGAGCAAACATGAACGGCCTGCCATAGTTAAGTTCAACTTAAAGTTGTTCTTGGTCTTTGTGAAACACCCCCCTGAGATATTTCTTAGGGCTCCGATGCTAAACCACAAAATGTGAAATGACCGTCTTGAAGGGTTTTTGAAAGCCCCATACAAACATTGCAGTATGATCCCTGAAATGTCTTTAATGGGCAGGTATCAGGGCCTGAAAACAGACATCTCTGAAGACAGAATGAAACAAATGAATTCATTGATGTAGACTCCTAACTTCTGTGAAGCAACACATTCACCAGCAAACTCTAATTTATCAACAACAACAAAAAGTAAGTAACATAAAGAAAGAAAAAATAATAAAGTCATTGATATGAAATTCTTACTATCGTGAAGCAATAAATTCACCAACAAATTCTGATTGTCAGGCAGATTAATGTCTGATTTCAGGTCGACAGTCCATTGCCTTCTGTATAATAATAATTTCTTTCTTTTGTTCAGAACTGACACACTTTCCAGTTTTTTATTCAATGAATTTTTAAAATTTTGATATATAATTTTTAAAGCCCCACTGCACTACTTATAGCTACTGGCGCCCTCTATATAGCAAACAATGCCTACTTGGTAACTGTTGGTCCCCCATGGTCCCCTTTTTCTTATGTTAATTGAGAGCTGATTTGATGAGGTAACTACCTATCAGTGACCATACAAGGAGGTCTAATCCCTCTAGGCCAAACTAGTGCAGATAGGGTTTAAAAACTGGGTAATTGTGATTTACCTAGTAAAGCTGGAATGTTATTAGGAGCTTGGTTGAGAACAAAGTTGAATTGAGCATCAGCCTGGTCCATTTTATCCCCTTCGAGAAGACAGAAACAAGCACGTCCCAGTAGATGGTTCTAGGATACAAACACAAAAATAAATGACTTACTGTAAATCTCTGTGTATAGGACACACCTTTCTTCCGCCGAAAAAAAATATCAGAAGTCTTTAATATACACAGGTACAAGATAAATGATAAATATTTTTAAGTGTCAATTTATGCCTGGCAATGTCTACCAGCTCATCAGTCATACATGGTGTGTTGACTCACCACTCGGAAACTAGAACAACATTACCTATATGTCCGGATTTCTGGTTGGACTTTGAGGAAAAATTTTCTGTCATCTTTAATTTTAAAAATGACATTGTTACTATTATTTGTGACAAGCACAAATTGGCGCCATTAACTGCACCTCGCAGTAAAATAAAGGTCATTCCCTGCGTGGGTTTTTGAACACTGCCTATGGAGGCGGTATCTTATACACAGAGATTTACGGTACTCCTTTCAAACCAAGCACTTCCCATGGAAAATGTCCGGTCTGAATGGACAGTGGGTAAAACTTCGGTCAAAGATCAATCATCACACAGATTACGTGAGCCTTACTCTCGCTCCTCTTTCTAATATGTGTACATGTATATCCATAGGACAGCAATTTATAATTTTTCTGGTTTTTAAAATGTAATTTTACATTCATTGATAATATTTCTGTCATGTAAAATAAAAAAAAACATTTTAAAATATTTTATAATGACATTAAATACATGATTTTCTCTCTTTGTTAATTTCATATTAAAAAAATTAACAAGATATTTAGCACTGTACACATCTGCCATCCTGTATTGGCAAGTGGCCGGAGTTAACAGCTCTATAGAATCTTTGTTCTTCTCCTTACAAGCCTGTTGGACATACCGTAGTAAAGTATTAAAAAACCCTGTTCACATTTACCTGATCGTACATGACGATCCTATCAGCCATAGTGTATAGGAGTGTGGCCTGTGTGAAGAGCTCTTTCTTGGAGTCTTTGTTCTTCTCCTTGCGAGCCTGCTGTACATAGTAAGCTGCTAGGGTATCTAGAGCAGTCATCTGATCCTTCTCGTTGCCTGAGTAATCCAGGTTGGCATCTGCCTGCCATGATGCAAAGATCTTCACAAAGTCATCAACGCTCTCCTTCTTGTAGTACTCCAACTGTGAATAAATTTTTACAAAAAATAAATAAATTTTTACATTTCAAGATGCAAGGATTTTCCACGAAGTCAGACTTGGCCTGCCTATGTGAAACATTTTTCAAGTTTTATTCAAAAATCCCTTAGAATTTCAGATCTTATCAAACAATGTTAATATTTTCATGAAAACTTAGGCTTTGTTCACAATTGACAGACTAAACACCACTATCAACAACAACAGAATTAAACTAGATGGAATTCGACTGCGTGCAGTCGAAAATGATGCCTCCGTCATAGAGCAATTTTACAAACCAAAACAGAAGAAATTTTTCGAATTCAAGTTCAATTGTAATCCATTGACAGGTTCTCAGAATATCGTGATTACAAGCAATTTCTCATATACATATATGACCCTTTGACCTTTGACCTTATGAACCAAGAATCTACTCAGTTCATTGGCTCTGCAAGTAACATACATGACCTAATTTTGGCAGGAATCCATCAATCGGTTCTTGAGATAACGCGATCACAAGCTGTTTTTGCATACATAATGTGTGCTGTGGCCTTTGACCTTTGACCTCATGACCACTAAATCTAATCAGTTCATCGGCTCTGCAAGTAACATACATGACTTAAGTTTGGCAGCGATCCATCATCGGTTCTTGAGATAACGCGATCACAAGCTGTTTATGCATACATAATGAGCCCTGTGACCTTTGACCTTTAACCTCATGACCCCAAAATCTAATCAGTTCATCGGCTCTGCAAGATACATACATGACCAAAGTTTGGCAGGAATCCATAGATTGGTTCTTCAGATAACGCGATCACAAGAACGGGACGTACGTACGTACGGACGGACGGACAACCCGAAAACATAATGCCTCCGGCTACTTCGTAACGGAGGCATAAAAATATAGAATAAGCTTGACATAAATGTGTATCTAAAACCAACATACTTCTCATATCAATACATCTATAGGGGCCTTTGCTTTGGTAGTCTTTTATTGCCCTTCATTTTGTTTCTTGTCCATTTTTTTTGGTGGCCGTTAACCGAGTCAGTTGTGAGCGAGGCATTCATTCTACTAACAAGCTTACCCCAAGTTCTAGCCATGTCTTGAGTGGCGCATTCTCTGATTTCAAGATTGTCAGGACTTCCTCCCCATCGGGCAGCTGCTCCAAGTCCAATTCAATCACCTGGATGGAAGAGATAACATCAAATCTTACACTATCTCAAGGGCAATCCAACCCTTGTAATAAGTTGACTTGAATGAAAGCAAAAAAATAACAGACACAGAATGGCAAAATGTTGAAATGAATCGGACCAATAGTAAGGAAGTTATGATTTTTTTTGATTTTTTTAATTTGAAATATGAGATTACTAAGTCTGTACGAATCTGAAATTGGTAGTTTGGTCAGTGGAATGTGACGTAGACGTGGGTAACTCTCCCATTTGCAGTGTTCAAAAATATCATTAATGTCTGTTTTTCTCGTAAGTTCCTTCTCTCTTGGGGCACTACTCAAAATATGTTATAGATATCATATTACTTTAGGTCCTCTAAAAAGAATAGACCCTCCTGAGCCATCAATTTTTGAAAAATTTAAATTTTAGTCATTTTATATGTTGGAGCAGATTGGAAAGTAGTCAGGCACTATATCACATGCCATTACCGCTTCAGCCAATTTGAAGTTCCCATACGTTTACTGGTAGTGATTACAACTTTCAAACATTCATTCAACTTTCTTATATTTAGTCAGATATAATTGAAACTTTCATCAGTTTGCTTCTCTAATTTTCTGCTTTCTTTTGGAGAAGTTGTCTATTTGGGTTGGATTTCCCTTTAACATTAACCCTGGACCTAGACAGAAAGCTTCAGTCTCTGATATTGAACAGTTGTTCCACAGAGACTACATCTAGCCCCACTGAAAGACTGAAGCATGATAAGCATCATTGGGTTAGTGAGTGTTCGTGTGTGATTGGCGAACTCATTGAGCGCAGTAGCTTAACAAAAAAAACAGACAGATTAACTAAAGTACATTTGTAAGTCCTTATATTTGTTGTTTTACAACTACTTACTTTCTAATCATCATTGTTTTCTCAAAATCAAACTGTTAAGTCTAGATAACGACAAACTAAGGGCAAAATTTTGCCAGATTCCAGTAAAAATCGCCAATTAATCCCCCTTGTGCATGCGCCAAGGGTTACACTTGTAATATGGGAAAGGTTGACAAATGAATAACAATAACAATGACTTTGTCTTCTTCTTTTTTATAAATAAAATTCCAAAATTCCAAAAAGTCTACAAAATGATATAGAGTAAAGGAGCCGGTTTTCGGCCACTTAAGACAAAATCCTATTTTTTGGACCCTTTACTTCCTATTTATTATCATTTTTTGTTCAAATCATGAAGCAAATATTATTATTATTTAAACAAAACAAGAATCCCAGAAAAAAAAATCACGAATTGCCATGACAATATTCATTTCAATTTTCACTGTTTCGGAGTCAGTTTTCGGCATAGCGTACCAGTTTTCGGCCGCATGTACAAAGTCAATAGGAAGCGCGCGCACGCGCCGTGTGTTTCCGCGCTGATCTATAGCACTAGCGGGCGGAGCAGGTATCCCACGCCGGAGCTCCCCGGAGCTCGCCAGGCCGAAAACTAGTACTGCGGTGATCGGATATTGGAATCTGAATTAGACAGAGATATCGTGTGTGCGCTGCGGTGTACGGCTGCATTGATTTAATACATGCGATGAAATACTTTTGAGCTTGCGACCAGCACAAAATCGGGCTCTAAATCTGAAAAATACTTGAAATAAAGCTCATTTTAAGGTACCCATATTTCTTACAGACATGCGTAAGATACTCGATTTTTCAGATTCGGGTAGCGGGACCGCCGATTACATCGCTAAAATGTGATATTTTAGGATATATTTTTCATTGCAAATGTGGTTCTTCAGTGACACTGGCATGGTATGGTATGTGTGGGATATGTGTTATGCTATTATGCGATGTATTTTAGAGGGATTTTACCTTGCATCCAACCAATCGGCCGAAAACTGGAGCTGGCCGATTACCGGCTCCTTTACTCTAGATCTAATGCCAATGGATTTGTTATTCCCTTGACCTTGTTCTGCAAATCATAACTTAGTCTCATTAGTTGATCGTTTGGTGCAGGAATTGGCGAATATAAATACATTCTGGATTTTGCTTACATCACTCTTCATGCAGGGTAATTTTGGTGCCAATTAAGGCTAGGTGATATCAATATTTATCGCTTGGCACTGGCTATAAATTTGTACAATGCACAGCGTTACACCAATTCTTACGGGTGGGCATACACAACACACTCTGTCTGAAATGACATGGACAGAGCCATCTGTTCCAGACAAAATCACTCTCATCTCCTTTACTTTCTCATCAATTACAATAAACCTTCAAATCTAAGCTTCAAGATGGTTAGTAAAATGATTTTATAAAGATTTTGACTTACCTCATCCGTGTCCCGGAGAGGGATTTCCACAAATCTTGGGCCAGAAGACAGCACCATTTTGAGCGTTTCGATCCCAATGCCAAAACTGAATTTGTTAGATCGCAAGCTGGCGCGCTCTTGTTCTGCTGGTTAGTGTCCCTTCCCTGGTAGTGTCCCTTTCTATAATGATAAATCCGAACCGAGGGGGACAGTTAAAAAACAAATACCCCCACCCCCCCCCCCCCCCCCAAGAAAGTTCATCAGCTAAGCGGAGCTGAGAAGGGTATTTGATCGGACAACAGGGCAGTCCACCCCCGCCCTCCTCTCCCTCTCTTCCTATATTTGGGCAATAATCATTTAAAATCGGGTAATAAGGTGCCCGATAGTCTAATATTCGGATATATAAGCCTAACTACTATAATTTTTACTACAGAAAAATGGCATAGAAACAGAATAGTCAATATTCGGGCTAAAAGCGTAAGCCTCCCCCCTCCCCCCCCCCCCCCCCCCGACACAAATAAATTTGCCTTGAATCAGAAGCTCCTCAATAATGTGAACTTTTTTGTTAAAATTCCAATTTTATGCATACTTACTTTTTTTAACAAAAGTTGTTCTTGACAACCTGAAAGCTTACCCGACATAGCAACAAGTAATGCGTGCAGACTGGATTCAAAAGATTTTAGTTCATTCCTTTTTTTATTTTATTATTAATTGATTGATTTATTTGTATTTACCCAGGGTAACACCATCAGTGAATAACAAACTGTTGTACTCGGGGGGGGGGGGGCTGCATTAACATATCTGGAATAACTCCTGAATAGGTCCCCAGGTAAGAAACATCCATGAATTTGAATATTTTAGTAATAAAACTATTAAAAAGGACGGAGCCGGGATAGGTAATGGAGGCAATAGCGTACTGATGAGGGGGGGGGGGTAGTTCCCCCCCCCCCCCCCACCAGTTGATTTATAAAAAACTTTGTTTATTTCTAATTCGATATCAGTGATTTACAAATGTTGCTTAAATGACATGATTATTATATTCCTTTTACTGTAATAACCCTCTGGCATGCAAACAAAATCCTAAAAAAGGTTCTCAAACCACGAAGATAATTATCTACATGTATGTTTGTTTTTTTAAGGCATCACTGTGGGACACTTTTTAACAGTAAATACTCCTAACCATTTTTGAATTTTACCAACTATATTTCCATGAAAATAAGACGTAAGATAGGCTTTAAAAATTCTTTCAACACTTAAATGTCTGGAATGGTATATAGAGCTAACTCATTGATTTGTGAAGATTTACATTGACTAAAATGTAATTAAATTGTAACAATATAGTTGGGATAATTAAGGAATTGATCAGATTTGTTTTTCCCAATTTGTATCATTAATAATGGTTAATCTTTAATTGTACATCTAGCACTGAAGTCACTACCTTAGCACCATTATCTTTCATCTGCACAATGTTACAAAGTCCCTTTCATTAATGTTTCTGTTTTCTTTGTTTGTTATTGTGCAGGTAAAGCGTGCATAATTATATATGCATTATTCGGAAAATGAAAAATCCTCAAATTTATTGTCAGGCGAAAAGTGCCCCTTTTTACATAGGAAAGGTGCCCCCTTTTACATCAAATAAACGACCTTTTTAAATTTCCAATAGGTGTCCGTTCCACATTCTTATAAGTGCCTCTTACCAACTCTGATAAGTACCCCTTTACCTCTGATAATTGCCCTATCTGAGAGGTGCCCGTTTTTTAAACATGTGCCCTTTTCTTTTGTAATAAGTGGACCTTTTTATCTTTGATGACTGCCCCTTCTCACCTCTGATTAGTTTTTTTTTAAATAAGATCCACTTTTCCTTCTCATAAATGCCCCTATTGACACCTCGGATAGATGCGTCTATTAAAATCTCATAGGTGCCCCTTTCCCTACTACAAGTGCCAACTTTCCTTTCTAATAAGTGCCCCTTTTTATACTGAGAGGTCTCAAATCTGAGAGGTGTCCCTTATATCCTGGCAAGTGCCTCTTTTTATTCTTATAAATGCCTCTGTCTATTCTTATAAGTGCCTCTTTTCATCTCTGGTGAGTGCCCTTATTCAAATTTAAGAGATGCACTTTTTAACTTTTTAATAAGTGCCCCTTTTCATCTCTGATAAGCGCCCCTGTTATTTTGACATGTGTCCCTTATCCTTCCTAATTAATCAATGCCATTTTCCTTCTGGTAATTGCCCCTAATTCTCCTTTGTAATAAGTGCCACTTTTTTGTTCTCATAAGTGCCCTTTTTCATCTCTGATGAGTGCTCCTTATCACTGGCGTACCTATGGGGGGGACAGGGGGGGCAGAGTGCCCCCCTGACGGGCTCCAGGGAAAAAAAAGAAAAAGGGGAAAGAAAAGAAAAGAAAGGAAAAGGAAAGAAAAAGAAAAAAGGAAAAGGGAAGAAAAAAGGAAAGAAAGTGAAAAAAGGAAAAAAAGGAAAGAAAAAAGGAAAAAGAAGAGAAAAGGAAGAAAAAGGGAAAAGAAAAGGAAAGGAATAAAAATGGGGAAATTAAAAAAAAAAAAAGACCATGGCCGTACGCACCAGGGGGGGGGGGGGCAGTTGACCCCAGATATTTTGAAAACGTACAGTTTTTTTCCTGAAAATGTAGTGTAGGCCTACACCAAATCCTTCAATTCTACTTTTGAAAATGCAAAAGTACCCTCATGACCAGTTCGGTCTCTCGAACTCCCTTCACTCCTTTTGCTTTTGAGATTCTTCGAAAACTTTTAACGCATCTTTCCCCCTCCCCCATAAATAGGAAAATATAAGTGATATAACAAATTTGAAACTCCTCGCTGGCGCGAACTGCTTGCTAGCCTATTTTGTATTAAATGTTTTCACTTGCTCGTCCCCCTGAAAAAAGAAAAGGATTAGTATTGCCTAGAATACAATTGTGCCTGCCCCGACGGGCCCCGACCTGCAACCATGGCAACAATAACACTATGTACCAAATGTTACTAAAAGAGACTAATTCATTTTTCTCGCTCGCTACACTCGCTCGCGAATAAAATGAATAGACATTGCTTTGGAAACAATTGTGCCCACCCTTGACCTGCAACAGTATCATTAAAAATGGAAGAGTTTTTTCGCCCTCTCGCCAAAAAGGAATTGAATCGCGTTAAACGCGATTGCGTCCATCCTGACCTGCACTAATAAAAACAAGTTTATTTATTAATTTCTATTAAAAGAGAATTTATTTTTTTTTGCTTGCTCGCTATGCTCGCTCGCCCAAATGGAATTGACACCGCTAACGTGCCCGCCCCAACCTGCAACAACCAGTTAATAATTATGTAGGCCTACCAAACGTTATTCAGAGAAGTTTTGGTGTGCTCGTGCTCGCTAAAACGGAATTAACATCACCTTAGACATGATTGTGTAAGCCCTGCCCTGCAACAAAAAAATCTGAAATTTATGAACCAATTATCATTACAAAAATTTTGCTCGCTCGCTACGCTCGCTCGCCAAAATAGAAATAACACCGCTTTTAATAATCACGTCCCTGACATGGAACAATGAACCCAAGTTTTATGTACCATATTTTCCCTATAAAAGAAAAGTGATTTTTTTTTTTCGCTCGCTACGCTCGCTAGCTCGTGGAATTATGTGCCCACCACTAACCTGCTACAATATCATTAAAAAGAGAAATGTAGGGGGTTGCCTGCCCGCCAAAATGGGATTGACATTGCCTTAAACACGATTGTGCCCGCCCCCTACCTGCAACAATGAAACAAATTTTATATAGCAATTCATTGAGAGAAAGATGTATTTTCGCTCGCTAGCTAAAATGGGTATAAAATCACCCTAAACACAATATTGTTCCCGCGCCCTGCATGGGACAATCAATAAGCGCCTAACAGGCAGCAGCACTTTTGTTTGAGCTCTCTACTAGTGAATGATATTATTGGACTTAGCTGACCAATTTGTGAATTAATTACTTGTAACATCTTTTTAAAATGTACATTGAATAGTGATAAGGTTTTGTAGCAATTATGACATGGCAATTCAGATCAAATGGTGTTCAAGTTTTTAATTCATTTACTTATTTCTCCCCAATTTACGAAAGTCGGGAAGGAGCTTACTTGTTTTGTTGTTTATTTTTTTTAAATACCCGACACTCCTTGACACGAGAGGTCCAGGGATGAGCGAGCAGACCGTTAGCTAGTGTATGGGAGTGTGAATGGGAGTGTGTATAAGAGTGTAAATGTGAGTTTTTATAAGAGTGTCCAAGGTACAGGAGTGAGAATAGGAGCGTGTATAGGAATGAGAGCGTGTATTGAAGAGCAAAGGGCCTGCTTGCTCATCCTTTGACCTACTCTTGTGTCACCTCACAAAATATATTTTAAACGTGAATTAATTTGCCTGTTATTGCCTTAGTCATATTAGTTATGAACTTTGTTATGAATTTTGTTATATACTGTATATTATACTTTGTGACAATGTCAACCACATTTGTATGTATTATAATTCATTGCCAATGTAAATTGTTCATAATTCAGCCATCTGGCTGCGAAGTGCAATCAATAAAACCTTTTCAATCTCAATCTCAATCTCAGACAATTGAACCAAGTTTAAGTGGCAATTATTAAAAAAGAAGTGATTTTTTTTCTTGCTCGCTACACTCGTTTGCAAAAAAATTAAATTAACGTCGCTAACAAGTGAATGTTCCCACCACCAACTTGCAACAATACCAGTTTATATACCAAACTTTACTTAAAGATTTTTTTTTGCTCGCTCGCTCGCCAGAAGTGAAAATTAGCATCGCCTTTTTTGTTTGTTTCGGTCGCTTGCCCCCCCTGACGAAGTACCCCAGGTACGCCACTGCTCCTTATATACCATGTGCGAAAAGTGCCCCACTTTCACCACGGACAATTCTCATTATTACTTTGACACGTGCTCCTTTTCTTTTCTAATAAGTGTCATTTTCCCTTTGATATGTGCCCCTTTTTCCTTTCACTTGTCATGAAATGTGCTCATAATTTAGAATCAACTAAGAGCTATTTTTAAATTGAATTATTGAAGATAAGAGAGAGAGAGAGAGAGAAGATAAGAGAAGAGAAGAGAAGAGAGAGAGAGAAGAGAAGAGAAGAGAAGAGAAGAGAGATAGAGAGGGAGGAGAAGAGAAGAGAAGAGAAGAGATAGAGAAGAGAAGAGAAGAGAGAGAGGGAGGAGAGAAGAGAAGATAGAATCAAGAGAAGAAAAGGAAGAGAGAGAGAGAGAGAGAGAAAGAGAGAGAGAGAGAGAGAGAGAGAGAGAGAGAGAGAGAGAGAGAGGGGGGGGGGGGGGGGTGGTCAATGTGAGTTTTGTAAGGGATGATTAGGAGAAAAAAGAAAGACCCTATAGCTATACAGAAAAGGTGAGGTCATAATACAGTGATTAACCCAAAATACATTTCTGACACCACTCCCAATAAGAAGCACACCCCAAAGCGGTCACACTTCAAATAGTCTTGTTTTCTATACTTTATATAGTTATAGAAAATATTTTCAATTCATAACTCCTAATAATTCTAGTATTTACTAATATAAAGTGCATTTATTTATGTCCAAATAATTGTTGTAATAAAAATCAATGACGAAAAGATTCAATTTAGATCCCTTTATAGCGATATCAATAAAATAGTGTTGTTATTATCGTTAAAATTGTGTGTAGGTCAAGGTAGAATAAAGACAACGGCTACCTGGAAAATGGCCTCAGACATCATCTACACGCCCAACTTCGGATAGAAAAACGCCCACTCCAGACCCTCTTGATCTTGTGAGCAAAGCTATACCTTAATTAGTAAACACATGCTCGTGCTTATGATCTAGCATTCTAGCCTTTATCCGTTATACATGTATTCACTCTTTAGAATTAAATGTCTAATTACAAACTTTTTTAAATGAGAAAATAAAGATAAAATGTGCCCAGATTCTAAATGTAAATTCAGTCTTTAGTCTATCCGGCTTAAAGATATTCTTATTGGGCTAGTTAATCGCCCTAAACTCGCGATTTCTTGGCTGTAACGTAATAATAACGGGCTTCCGCTACGTATTAATTTCCAGTGGCACAGCTGAGCTCCAGTGGCTAAAATCCTGCTACTTGTCAAAGCTTCCGGTTGCCGATTGTCAAAAGTTAATGGGAGTAATATCATCTAATTCGGTAAGTCATTTGATACATTGTGACAGGCAAAAATTGACGAAAGAACCCATAAAATTGATTTCTAAAACTGGCGGTTTGACGTCGTTGACGATCATTGCACTGTGTCTGTGTGTGGTGGGCCAGCTCCAGTGTGCATCGCCTGTGCAGTGCATGTACTAGTGTTGTGTGAATGTGCTGTAAACATGGGAGCAACGCCTACAGGCTCAACGCGGCCGCGGCACCGCCTGTGCCTATGTCTGTCTGGCCTGTGCAGTAGTGGTCCATTCATTCATATTTCATGAACAAGTGACTATTGTCGACTCGCCCAAAGGCATGCCACCCTCATCATATGTCCAGCTACAGACTTAGGGGCTTGTCAATCTTTAAAATTTGATACTCGTGTCGTAGAGTCGTAGTCATCATCATCATCATCACCAAACAAAAGTCAAAATGAATTACAACATTGTCATGATTGTGAATACCATGATTGCCTTGCTGCCTTAGATTTTAACTTAACATTGTGATTAGTAAACCCTCCCTTCTTCTAGGATCTACTTCTACTTCTTTTCTTATGCTAGTAAAAGTAGACAGGTACTTGTCGAAAGCCTTTTCAGCAACTAAACGAGGAAATAATGGTCATGATTGATTAGTGCAGCCTGCGTATGTATACAAGTTGTGCGAGTAAAAAACAGTTCTTCTTCTTCTTCTTCTTCTGTTGAAGTTTAGGCCACCATATTGTTGGCCTATGATTTAGGCACTGATGGCTCCCTTGAACTTCTCCACAGATACATGTACCTTCTCAAAAAATCTGCAATCATAAAATTGATGTGAACGAAAGGGCCTTTGGCTTTGGCCACGTCTTACATGTTGCTGTGGACAGGTACATGTAAATGGTTGGTAATTTAAAAAAGTGTTGAGCTTTAATATGTTGGTTAAGAAAAGAATGTGCTGTCATAGTTTTTTTAAAGGCAAATTTAGAACCAAAGATAGAAGAGGAAAACTATCACCTGACATGTCAATTTTTTAGGATCTCAATTTTGTATTGAAAGGGGGATTTGTGCCGATCAGTTCACTTGCAGAGATGGCGTACATTTACATGTGGTGGACTGATAAGCAAAGAAGAGGAGGAAAGAAGCGGGAGAATGAGGAGGAAAAGAATAATGAGAATGAGGAAAGTAAAGGTAAAGGGGCGGAGCAGATGAAGGGGGAGGAGGAGGAGAAGGAGGTCTGCATGGAAGAGAGAAAAATTAGAAATATAAGAGGAGAAGACAAAGATGCCACTTTCTATGATTGTTATGAAATCAGAAATTTTGCAAATGAAGTGAGAAAGGTTAAACAAGAAAGAAAAATTAGGGAAATGCATAATTTGAAAAATCTTGAAATCTTGAAATATAGATCTATGAAGTGCGTTAAAGGTCTAGAGTTATGGGATGCCTTATTACTCTTACTGTTTACTTTGCATCATTTGTTGAGAATTCTCAATATTTCAATGTCAGGACTTTTTTCTTGTTGCATCTCTGAGAGGAGGAGGAAAAGGAGAAGGAGGAATAATGGCAATGCTCCGTGATGATGCTATTGGATTTATATGTACATGTACTGTATGTTGAATTTTAACTTATGTGACGTTACCAGAATACTGTACATGTACATGTACTGTAGCTTAAAAACAAAATTATACATTTGTAAGTATTCTTGATCAAGTACGAGAATATGTATTGAAACTCTAAAATATGTTGTGTGCTTTTCATACGCTAAGATTAAAGACATACTGTACACTCTGCAGTTATTCATGTGCATTGTGTCATACATGTACATGTAGTTCAGGTACACCAGACTTTGTGGAGTCATCAATTAAGAAATACACAGATCTTTCATGTAGCAAGATTTGTGTCACTTGTTATAAGGGAAAAGTGTTCTGCCTGCCAGATTTAATTTCATATTTTGTCAGCAAAATAAATAGTGTGACATGCATCTCTACATGTGTCATCTGTGTGCATGACCATTTCATAGCCTTGTGTTTCTGAAGGTGTCTTCATTCATTGTTAAGTGAAATGTACAAGGCTAGGCTACCTACAGTACATGTACACATGAGGCCTGAGGGTGTGAATATGTCATACATACATCTGTGAGGTTCAACAAATTGTTATACGTTTACTTTTAAATACAACTGTGTACATGTACATGTAGGCTGGGATAAGGTTTACAAAGCATCTCAACAAAATTGTTGATCGTTGCTACATTTTTTGTTTTCTTTATTGTACAGGTATTTAAAACATTTGTTTATAGGCCTTCATAAATACTATGTATTGTTATTATTTTAATTTTTGTTGTTGTTATTATTATTATTGTTGTTGCTGCAATAAGTGGGATATTTGGTTTAGAAAATATCTCGAGAAATGTTGGTCTGGTTTCCAAAATATCCCGCTATTTGGGAAATAGCAGGCTAGTTTGTGATGAGCGTATCGGTCTAGTGAAGACGCAATTTCAAGGTTCGGGATAATATCCTGATTCTGGAAATAGTGGGTTATTTGGCAAACTCGAGCTGATGAAGCCTGGCCTTATGACACAATGCACATTGAAATATGAGAGTATGTCTTGTAATTGCTCAGAGCATGTACAGGTATTATTTCAGTGATTCGAGCTGTACTTTTAACCTTGGAGCGAGTGCTACCGGAACATTGTCTGTCATACATATACATGTTCTTAAAGGAAACCTCACCCCTAAGAAAAAGTGTAGATGTGGTGAAAGATGAGATGTATTCCTGCCTAGTGATGTACATGTACAATATTCCTTACGGAAGTGTACAAGAGATTAATGAAGATATTCTTGGCATACATGTAATGTTAGCATAACATGGGCGCAGCCATTTCCTTGATAATGTGACGTACACATGTACGTGTACCAGGCAAACTTTTATCATGCACCAAACTCTAGTCGGAAAAACTTTTTAGTTCATTTACAAAACCATTACTTTTCAATGAGGGAAAATCATAGCTGAGAAGATTAACAATTTATGCGAAACCTTCACCCCATAAAGGCTTTAACTTATTTATAAAATTTGCGTTCTGACAATTATAATAAAAAAGAAAATAGCAGGTAAATGAATACTTCATCACCACACACCCTGGGAAGGAAGCCTTTATGAATTTAATTATGTTTATTTTTAATACACATTATCAAGAAATTGCCAATGCCCATGTTGTGCTGAGAAACTGCACAATATGATAAGAATATTTTGCATAAATGTACATGTATCTCTCTCTGTAGGCCCGTCTTCACTATCTCGAGATTGCCAAATATCCAGCTATTTGAACTATCCCGATCGCAAACTATCCAGCTATTTGCGTCTTCATTAGAACGAAGTAGCAAATTAGCTGGATAGTTGGTCGGGATAATATCCCAAGATATCTCGGTCTAGTTTGCAAAATATCCCACTATTTCCGAACTAGCGGGATAGTTTGCGACCGTCTTCATTAGACCGAAGTCCGGAGTCAAATATCCCGATCCCATCATGCACAACGATTTCCGGTTCGCACATGCGATCTATACCGCTCAGTGCGCTAGTACAACCACTGACCTCGAGTAAGCACGGAAAACCGCAAACTAGACTGAGATATCTTGGGATATTATCCCGACCAACTATCCAGCTAATTTGCTACTTCGTTCTAATGAAGACGCAAATTAGCTGGATAGTTTGCGATCGGGATAGTTCAAATAGCTGGATATTTGGCAATCTCGAGATAGTGCAGACACGCCTATACACTTTGTTCAGAAATCTTGTAGATTAATGGGCAAGATTACAATAGACCTAGAGTCAGAATACCTTCAGTCATTTCTTTGGGTGAGGTTTCCTTTGAAGATAAGATAACGACCAGCTACCTGAATGGTCATGCGATTGCATTGTGAAAGAAACGTTGTGGAATCAATCAGAAAAGGTTGATCATCTAGCATATAAGTATCGGTGTGTACTGCAAGGTTCTGGAATCATCAAAATGATAAGAAATTTGGCCCAGTCTTGGTAAAGTTACAAGCACTGTACACAGAAAGATGTATATGGGACTACCTACACACGTGGGCAATACGTGCGTTATATCTATCAGGTCCAAATATAGATTACCAAATATACCAATTAGAAGGCGGTTTCTCAGAAAAACTTTTATGATCACGTATTAGTCAAAACATATTCTTTCACATGATTGGTAATAAGAGCTTCCATTTCATTTTTTGAGAGGGGGGCATTTCCAAAACTGGTCTTTAACTTTAATACATGAACTTGATGTACATGTACACACCAAGTACTTAAAGATAAAGTTGAGTTTTGGGCATGCGATTGAAAGATAGGTGTGGAATTGATAAGAAAAAGTTGATTAAGCATAGATTTTTTGTCATTAGTGTTTACTGCAAGGTTCGGGAATCATCAACATGATAGGAAATTTGGCCCAGTCTTGGTAAAGTCACAAGTACTGCACACAAAAAGATGTATATGGGACTACACAAACATGTGGCATAAAAATCAGGCCTCATTTTTATGCTGTTACTTGTCAAATTTGGAATTTGAAGGCATTTGAAGAGCCATGCTTTTCATGGAACATTTGTTTTCTGACGTTCTTCCACACTTGCATAATAACAAAAATAACGCTCACAATTTATTGTTCACCTCTGCCCAGAACTCCACCTTCTCTCAGTTGGCATCAGTATCACAAACAGACCAGTCTCAATTTGTCAGTGTAATTCAGTTAGGAAGTTTGATTCTCTCAGCTAAGCTGGTTTATGGGTTTAGTACATGGTATAATCCTAATCAATGAGCTTCAATGAACTTTGCACACTCTATCTTCCTAATGTATTAATCTCATTTATGATCCTGACCTATTGCACCCTCGGGGCTGGTTCACACACAAGCTGCATTCACACTGCAACAACAAATCATTGATTTTTCTCACATTCTAGTGTTTCGTCAGTTGCTAGGCAAACACAACCAAAAAACGTTTACAAAAATCCACCTCTGGATTGTGGGTTTTTT